ATGCCGAGGTCTTTCAAAGCTGGAACAAATGGTTGCAATCGCACTCCTTTTAATAAGGAGAAGGATAAGGAGTCAAAGAAGAAGTTGATTGATGGGAATAAAGATGTGGATCCTCAGCTATGGCATGCCATTGCTGGAGGAATGGTGAAAATTCCACAAGTTAACTCTAAGATCTTCTACTTTCCTCAAGGTCATGCCGAGCATGCCTATCAACCTGTCACTTTTCCTGCCGACTTCATAATTCCATCAGAAATTCCATGTAGAGTCGCAGCTATCCGTTACAGGGCTGATCCTGACACAGATGAAGTGTATGCAAAACTCAGCCTTGTTCCTCTGCAGATTAGTGAGGCTAATTTCGATGATGACGACGCCGCTGGCATCGATAACATGTCTGAAACTAATAATAGATATCGGTCTTACACGAAAACCTTGACACAATCTGATGCAAACAATGGTAGTGGATTCTCTTGTCCTAAGTATTGTGCCGAATCGCTTTTTCCTCCATTAGACTATTCAGGTATGTTTCCTTCTCAAGATATTTATCCCATGGATGTGCATGGAGAAACATGGAGATTCATACATGCTTACAGAGGCATGCCGAAGAGGCATCTGTTAACAACTGGGTGGAGTCATTTTGTGACTGATAAGCTACTTGTTTCGGGGGATTCACTTGTGTTTGTCAGAGATGAACACAGTGATCTCCATGTTGGAATACGAAGGTCTAAAAAACGAAACGATGGTGGATTTAACTTTTCATCAAGGAGGAAACTTGGTATTGAAACTGGAATTTGTCTTAGACCATCATACGATAGACATCTTACTTCGTCTTTTGGAGAGTTGAGAATAAGTGATAAGGTGATGGGAATTGGTAAAGTGAAGGCTGAACATGTTATTGAAGCCGTAAGACTTGGTGTCAATATGCAACCATTTGATGTGGTCTACTATCCTAGGGTTGGTACTCCCGAGTTTTTTGTGAAAACCTCTTTAATTAAAACAGCACGTCAGATTAGGTGGTGTTGTGGAATGAGGTTCAAGATGGCCGTGGAAACTGAAGACTCTTCAAAGACACATTCGTTTATGGGAACAATTTCTTCTGTTCAAGCTGCTGATCCAGCATGGCCTGACTCTCTTTGGAGACTTCTGCAGGTATAGACTTGTTTATTACATACTTCTTTTGAACTCAGATTTAAAAGCAAATATAACTAATTGCATTTTCAAATTTGTTTGATTAACCTTTTAGGTTACATGGGACAAAACTGATTTACTTACAAATACCAAGATGCTGAATCCGTGGGAAGTCGAATTAGTATCGGACATGCCTTTGTTCCCTTTTCCCCCTTTCTTTCCATCAAGTAAGAAACTGAGATCGACGCAACACCCAAGTTTCTCCATGGATGGCCAATTATCAATGCCAACTTTTTCGAATGTTCCAGTTACTAGTACTGCAGGCATGCAGGGAGCCAGGCGTGATGATTTTAGTTTCCCCAAATCATTGTTTCCAACCATCGAACAAATTCCATTAGAAGTCTTTATGTCTCATTTCCAACCATCATTTAATCACGATGCCTCAACATCCACTACTGTCAATAGCACGATATTACAAAAGGAGAGCAACAGTGAGAATGTTTCAAGCTCGATATTAGACAAATTGGATCATGCGAAGCCGAAAGAGTTGGTGCTTTTTGGCCAAACAATACTTCATGCGAAGCCAAAAGTATTGGTGTTTTTTGGCCAAAAAATACAAATTGAGTCGAGAAATGGAAATGCCGAGGAGAAAATAACTAATTATCCTTCTGGTTCTCCTCTATAAGACTCCTCTAGTGAGAGGCTGGAGTGTGATCTAAGGAACCAAATCAAAAAAGATACTTTGGCAGGAGAAACAATGGAGATCGAAAATTCAACATCCACTACTGTCTCTAATAGCCCGATATTACAAAAGGAGAGCAGCAGTGAGAATGTTTCAGGCTCGATATTAGAGAAACTAGATCATACGAAGCCGAAAGAGTTGGTGCTTTTTGGCCAAACAATGGTTCATGCGAAGTCAAAAGTATTGGTGCTTTTTGGCCAAAAAATACAAATTGAGTCGAGAAATGAAAATGCCGAGGAGAAAATAACTAATTATCCTTCTGATTCTCCTCTACAAGACTCCTCTAGTGAGAGGCTGGAGTGTGATCTAAGGAACCAAATCAAAACAGATACTTTGGCAGGAGAAACAATGGAGATCGAAGATTCAGGTAAGGATCAGAAATGAATAAAATTTAGTATCTTTTATGTATTGCATAAACTGTTTCATCTCTTAGAAATAGATATATGTTAATAATATTTTTGGTGCCGTTTCAGTGAGTTCATCAAAAGAGGCAGCGTGACAGTAGTATCAGCAATGGAAGGAAGAATTATTATATCCATAATTTTCTATAAACATGATTTAGTTCAATTATAAGAAGTTGTCTATGTATTCTAACACTTCCACAATTTAGTTCAATTTGGATTCATCTTGTATAAAGTTTTTATGTTAAGTTGATTTGTGTTGAATCACACATCTATTTCTTCTCATATAATTTTTGAACAACTTCAATAAGGACTGAATTGAACTTACACCTTAAACACTACCTTATTATCGTGTTTAGAATTATTTACGAGCTAAAGGGGTAACGTTGGGGAAAAGCAATGTAGTATGTGTTTTCTGCAAACATGCTGCTGAATCAGATTGCCACATGTTTCTGGAGTGTAATGAAGTAATGAACATATGGGATCAAATCTATAATTGGTTGAACATTGACCACATAGTTAGAAAAGATGTTAGAGATCATTTTAACCAGTTTTGTGAAAAGTTCAAAGGGGTAAAATGTAGGAAGATGAGAAATGATAAGTTTGACGCACTAAGTATCACCAAGAACATCGAAATTATGTTTTGGAACTGGTTCAGACATAAAGTGGAAAGGTTAATCCTACGGCATGCATTGACATACGAAACCGATCTGTGATGGAAACAAATATAGAAGGCTAAATCTGTTGTCCAACCTAGCCGAGCTTTCGGAGTGAATTCATGGTGAACTGCACTATATAATGGAGAAGTTGCGGTTGTTGGCGAAATGTGATGAAGAATAATAATGCAAAGACTGAATTCTGTGAAAAAAGATTATCCCATTGTCAATAGTTTTGTCTCATAGTATTTTGTATTCAATAACGTAATTAAAAAATCTAGTAAAAATAAATCTAATATCACTATACAAATCTCACATGTGTGCAAGTATGATACTTGTCAAAATTTTCATGCAGAGAAAGGCTCAAATGTCACAAAATACAATATATGTCATTCTTGCATCAATTATCATGCCAATGTGCTTTCTGACAAGCAAGCAAATGGAATCTCAATTGTTGCACATTAGTGAAGAAAGAAATGGTGAAAGGATTCCCTAACTTAGTGTACATAGAAGAAACACAAGGATCCTATTACAAAACAATCAGATTGGAGAGTTAGTGTCAAACTAGAACTTGTACAATCAGATGTTAGTGGAAAAATCAAACCTGAATCAGTCGGAGGAAACATGTATTTCATCCCCTTTACATTTTGAAAGAAAAGTCTAGTGTCTTTCATGTTTTCAATTGATCATTTTAATGCTCAAAATTGTTCTCATTTGTTTAATTTACTTCTGAATCGGTCTATGCATTTTTGTTACTTTTAATTTGTTCTTTTTGTTGTGTTATTATTAGTCAATTTGTGTCCAATTTGCAAGGTGGTTTGCTCTGAAGCTGTGAACAATGTGTTTCCTAAATTTATTTAACTGACTCTAATTATGGTTACAGCTACAACTGCTATGTGCAAATCACCTTTCTCACAAAAAAATAGTAACTTCCATTATTTTGTTGTTATAACCGTTTCAATGCAGTTAGTTTTAACTCGCCCTATTCTTTTACTCTTCTAACTCTTTCAAAGTGCAGAAGCTCTCACTATCTCAGAAACAATTTTACATGAAACTATAATTCAATTGAAAGTTTCAGAGGTTTAACTCCTTTTCACATCTCCCTCTTACAGATTGCACATATTCTTTCAATTATATTTCTCTTTTATTCTTTGATATATGTTAATGAACTGTGGAATGGGAGTATTGATTCAACAAAAAAAGTATACTGTGTTGTATTTCTGTATAATCACTCTTTCTGTAATTTCTGTCTAATTGAATGAACAAAACTAGTGCAATTTGTATTTGTCTAATTCATATAAGAAGCTTCTTTTTTTAATGAATTTGGTGTGTGCAACTGAGTATACATTTGAAAACTAACTTTTCAAAATTCACAAATAAAAACAAAAAGCTTAAACTATTTGATTTTTTTATGTGTAAACCATTTGATTTCTTTTTCAAATCCCCATTTTATGCAGAACTCAATTTTAAAATGGCAAGATCTAGGAGAGGAAAAGAAAAAGATTGCAATGGAGAGTCGAAGAAGAAGTCAGAGAGGAACAAAGATGTGGATCCTCAGCTATGACATGCTGTTGCTGGAGGAATGGTTCAAATTCCAGAACTTAATTCTCACATCTTCTACTTCCCTCAAGGTTATGTCGAGCATGCATATCAACCTGTCCATTTTCCTGCTGACTCCAAAATTCCATCCCAAATTCCATGTAAAGTTGCAGCTATCAATTATAGGGCTGATCCTGGGACAGATGAAGTGTATGCAAAACTCAGGCTTTTTCCTCTCATTAATAGCGAAGTTAGTTTTGATGATGATGTGGTTGGTGGCATCGATGATATGTCGGAGACTAAGAATAAATATCAATTTTATACAAAAACATTGACACAATCGGATGAAAACAATGGTGGTGGATTCTCTTTTCCTAGGAAATGTACAGAAACACGAACTAACTACTGGTGCATGGGGGTCAAGCTCCCCGACCTTCATCAGCATCAGGGCCACCAGCATCAAATCAGACTTCACAGGCATCATTGCATCCTCGCAGTGCTGAAACAAGACCTGGTAGTTCACAATTATCTCGATTTGCTGAACATGGGGCTGAAAATTCAGTGGCTTGGAATGCTGCTAGAACTACAGAGACACTGCTTGGAATGTGGTGTGTTTTGTAAATAAGGCAAACTGGTAACATGTACAAGAATGTCAAGAAGAAGATTGAGAGAGGTGTTGCCTTCCCAACTTGCGTATCTGTAAACAATATTGTGTGTCATTTCTCTCCTCTTGCAAGTGATGAAACGGTTTTGGAAGAAGGGGATATTTTGAAAATGTAAGACTCCTTTGATCCATTTTTCTTGGAAGGATGTATATTGCTTTGGTTTGTGCTGTTGTTAGGAGATATATAGTAATGACATCTTTGATTTTTTGCAGTGATTTGGCGTGTCATATTGATGGGTTTATTGCTGTTGTGGCTCACACACATGTTCTTCAAGAGGGGCCTGTTACAGGACGTGCAGCTGATGTAATTGCTGCTGAAGTGGCATTGAGGCTTGTTAGGCCTGGAAAGAAGGTAATATAATGTGTAAGAATTTTCATATATTGCTGCACCTGTTATATCTGAGGTCATTTTGATCTGATTACTTTATATTTAATCTCTTATAGCTTTGAGTTGGTTCTAATTTGATGGGTTGTTATTATCTTTTGATTTGGGTACTTCAAGTTTTAGAGTGTAAGTTTTCATGTCATTGTCTATATTTAATGAAATGATGTGAACTACTTTGTGATTTATTTCTTATTTTGATCTCTAAATGATGTAAACTATGATGAGCTATGGATTAACTCTGGTGATGCTTTAATTGTCATAGTTACATTGATAGAGATATATATTTTTTTTACCCTTTTTTGCTGATAAAATGAATTTTTTGTTTTGTTTTTCTATATCTTTGTTCACTAGTTTGTAAGTTCAAATGCTACTGTTACTTCTCTTCTGTGATGAATGCTATAACGTATGGTCGTTGTCTTTCAATTCCTTTCACTATTGACTTTTAGTATAATGATGAGATGTATCATGTTTAATTTCCAGCTGCTTAAATCTACTTAGACCTTTCTGTTTTCTATTCATGTTTAATTGCCAGCTACTTAAATCTACTTAGACCTTTCTGTTTTCTGTTTTATAGCTTACTTGGTTGTACTGTTACACAACTTTCATAATTTGTATTAACAACCAAAATGTCTCTTTCAGGTATAATCTTCTGCGTAAAAAGTTTCCTGCCACGTCATTCACCGGATCTCCAGTTCTTTCTGATTCTGGATTTGATTTGTTGAACAAGCTTCTAACTTATGACCTTGAAAAGGTAAGGGTTGCTTGAGCTTCATGAATTAATTTGCGAATAGTTCTTTGTCTCATAATATTAAGAATAACACCTACTAATGCATGCAGAGGATCACGAATGAAGCCGCTCTCAATCATGAATGGTTTCGCGAAGTTCCTCTTCCCAAAAGCAAAGAATTCATACCTACATTTCCCGCACAACATGCTCAAGACAGGTATTTGATCTGTTGGAAAACTAATGAGGCTATTTGTTTAAGAATTTTTTAAAATAGTTTGTCCTTAATGGCAAATAGAAAAGGACATTTCTCATGGTTGCCCTGGTGTGGCAGCTAGAGCACGTGGCCTAATGGGTCTAGAACCTACAAGGGTTAGTGCTGCCTCTGAATTTGTTTTTCTTTATGATAATTGTTTTACCGACGTTCATTGACGGGATTAACCAACCATACTCTTTACAGGTTGCAGAAATCCTTAAAGATTGGCCCTCGTGGTATTGTGATTGCCGAGCTGTGGATGTTCTGAATGTGCTCCCCACAGCAAATGGTGGACCCATTGAGCTGCTTTACATGCAG